ATGTAAGGGCAGTTTCAACACGAGCCTGTTTTCCTTGGGGGCTTGGGGTGGCTGGGGGTGTTTATGGCATATGAGAGCTTGCTTTTGGCTAGTGCTGGCTGTGTGCCTTAAATTACGCCCCTGAAAACATACGAGGTGGCTCACACCTGTAATCCCAGCACTTTGGGAGGCCGAGGCAGGTGGATCACCTGAGGTCAGGAGTTTGAGACCAGCCTGGCCAACATGGTGAAGCCCCATCTCTACTAAAAACACAAAAGTTAGCCGGGCGTGGTGGCGGACGTCTGTCATCCCAGCTACTCGGGAGGCTGAGGCAGGAGAATCCCTTGAACCCGGGAGGTGGAGGTTGCGGTGAGCCGAGATCACACCACTGCACTCCAGCCAGGGTGACAAGAGCAAAACTCATCTCAAAAAACAAAAACAAACAACAACAACAACAACAAAAAATAGTACGGCCCCTGAAAACATACTTCTCCATCAACCTACCTATTCTTTATCATATGACGTTATATCTCTCTATTTATATCTGTGCATACATCCATTTCTATCCATCATGCAGCTGTTATGTACCTATATCATCTGCTATAGCGATATCATGTATCTATGTCTTTATAAAGATATAGATATCAATATAACAACATTGAGCTGGTTTTTTTTGTTTGTTTTTGTTTTTGTTTTTTTATGTGAGGGAGTCTTGCTCTGTCACCAGGCTGCAGTGCAGTGACGCAGCCTGGGCTCCCTGCAACCTCCACCTCCTGGGTTCAAGCGAATCTCCTGCCTCAGCCTCCCGAGTAGATGGGATTACAGGTACCCACCACCATGCCTGGCTCATTTTTGCCCACCTGGGTTTCCCCAAGTGCTGGGATGACAGGCATGAGCCCCTGCACACAGCCTATATCTATATATCTTCATAGATATAAATGGATATAAAGACACATAAGGCTGGCCACGGTGGCTCACACCTGTCATCCCAGCACTTGGGGAGGCCGAAGCAGACGAATCACAAGGTCAAGAGTTTGACACCAGCCTGGCCCATATAGTGAAACCCCGTCTCTACTAAAAATGCAAAAATTAACCGGGCATGGTGGCAGGTGCCTGTACTCCCAGATACTCGGGAGGCTGAGGCAGGAGAATCACTGGAACCACGGAGGCAGAGGTTGCGGTGAGCTATTTCGCCATTGTACTCCAGCCTGGACGGCAGAGTGAGACTCCATCTGGGAAGGGAAGGGAGCGGAGGCGAGGGGAAGGGAGGGGAGGGAGAAAGAAAGAAAAAGAAAGAGGAAAAAAAAAGAAGGAAGGAAGAAAGAAGGGAACGAAGGAAGGAAGGAAAGAAAAAGAAAGAAAGAAAGAAAGAAGGAAGGAAGGAGAAAGAGAAAGAAGAAAGAAAGAAAGAAAAAAGAAAAGAAAGAAAGAAGGAAAGAAGAAACAAGGAAGGAAGAAGGGAAGGAAGGAAGAAGGGAAGGAAGGAAAGAAAAAGAAAGAAAGAGAGACAGAAAGAAAGAAAGAGAAAGAAAGAAGAATGGAAGGGAAGAAAAAAAGAAAGAAAAGAAAGAGAAAGAAGGAAAGAAGGAAAGAAGAGAGAAAAAGACAGAAAGAAAGAACAAAGAAAGAAAGAAAAAGAAAGAAAGAAAGGAAGGAAGGAGAAAGAAAGAGAAAGAAATAAAAAAGAAACAAGGAAGGAAGAAGGGAAGGAAGGAAGGAAAGAAAAAGAAAGAAAGAAAGAAAGAAAGAAAGAAAGAAAGAAAGAAAGGAAGGAAGGAAGGAAGGAAGGAAGGAAGGAAGGAAGGAAGAAAGGAAGGAA